TCCCGGTGGCGTTATGCTGTTTCGTATGAGTGATGCTGCTGATTTATATTTTTAGTGCCACAAAACAAAATGAGTACTTAAATGAATCAGAAAGAGAATAATTTAAAAAGAGAGAGTAATTTAAAAACTTGAGTAATATTCAAATTTTAAAATTTGTTTGATTGTTAATACTTTTCTAAGTTCCTTATTCGTATGCATATCTATGTAATTATGTTTTTTTTTAAATAAAAGGATTAATGTACAGAACCTTCGATATTCAAGTTTTTTATGATGATACACACTTCTTTTGATTTTTATAATGATATTAAACCTTATAAATATATAACCTTATATTGTATATTAAAATTTTAAGTTGGAACAGTTATATATATATATATATATATATATATATATATATAGATATTTAATATATACAAATATTAAAGGGCTTAAACACTCGAAAGATAAGATAATGAAATCAATCTATATGCAATATTGAAAGCAATCATAGTCTCATAGCGTTAATATACGGAGAATAAAACACCGACTGCTTCGGTTCCGCTCGATCTACATTTAATTGCCAGACAAATAAATTATCTAATCAATGCAGCCCAATAACGTGACGTGGTGATGGATCGTGCCAGGAGAGACATTTCAATTGCGTTACGAATATAGGTGGGTAATAGTTATAACCGTTTTGTTGTATTTATAATACGAACGTTGGTTTAATACAGCGACATCTTTCGGTAAAAAGAATTAGGTTAAAGAAGAAAAACTTGGTAAATCCAAATTGACGTATAACATGAGCGCTTAAGGTGATGTGGGCGCCAAAAGTAGATTTATTTTAAAAGTGCAATTTTTGTCATTAAAAACTATGAATTCACATTTTTTTAAATTCATTATGAAAGTTAAAGATTTTTCTTAGTGAATTATCTTGGCCAAAACACGATTGAAACATTTTAGCTTGATAGAAAAAGATCGCAAAATTTCCTCAAAATCTACAATTTTAGGTACGTTAACTAATTAGTGAAAAAGCAGTTTCATTCGAATGTAATGAAATCAATTTCAATTAAATTCAGGCTATGTGTTCACCAGCAAATACACGATTGAATTATGGGTTTATTTTTCAATAAAAGAGTATAATTTATCATTTTATAAAGAAATATCAAATAAATATTGTGCGATTAAATAGCGCGCGGGCCGATAAAATAGTCCATATAAAGAGTGAAAAATCTGCTTTGGGCGCCCACTTCACCTTAAGGCATAACTTTATAATATATATAATAACTTTATTTTCGTAGTTCTATTGGATATTTTTTTAAAAACTTCCGCGCGCGCCCCTTTTTAACCTTGCGCCCTTCGGCACGTGCCAAGTTTTCCTTAAGGATAATCTGCCACTATTCAGAGGTAAGGACTCATCATAACTAACAAAACGAGCCCAAACTCAGCACACCTATTACTACTACTCTTTATCTTATTCATCTTATTCTTTATATTATTATTTACTACTTTTCGAGGAGTTCCAGTTGCATTCACCGAAGTACACCTTCAGGTCATTCTATCAAGTCCGGAGGTGAGATCTTATCATAACTAACAAAACGAAGCCAAACTAGGCACACCTAGTTCTAGTCGTCGGGTTCTTCCAGTAGCTGATACCGTAGTACACCTTAAGGTCACTCCATAAAGTCCAAGACGTATAAATATATTTATCTATTTATAAATCTCACATACTTTTAGCGAAACAATATATTCTAATAAAAATCTATGATTATAAAAATAATAATTTACTTTGGTCTTATCTTTGGTCAAGTACGTATCAAACTTGGTTTTTGGAATATTTTGTATTTCTACAGCGATCGATATTTTCATCACGAGCCGATGTAAACAAACGATATAGTAGTACCAAACCCACTCATGACGGCGACTGAGCCCGGAATGCGTCAAAGTTAAAGTGTATTTAGTAAAATACATTGTAACAAGGCTGTTCAACACGGAAAATTTCGGAATTTATCAGACGAAAAAATTAATTATAACTAAAAAAAAAAACAAAATTAAACTGTCATTTACATTCAAACTGTAGGTATGAGACATGGCTTCCCAATGTGGAAGCCATGTCTCACATGATAGATGAAGAGATTAAAAAATTAATTGAGTTGAATAATTGATATTTTCAAAAGTTACTTGATAAATTAAAAGCGATTAAAACTATTTTTTAATATAAAAATTGCAATTAGTCGATTTAAAAAAAAATTCAACAATCATTTATCTTTATGACAATATGCTTTTTATATTATTTATATGTTCAATATGATTGTTAGATACGATTTCATACGACAAAACGTTGAATTCTTAATATTTAGGTGCTAGTAGAACATACCTACGCGCTTAGCACTTAAGGCCGAATACGAAGAGAACTGGCGAAAATTAATGTATTTCTCTTGACTAGAACTTTGACCTGAAGTAATTCTAAGCTTTAAAACATTTTTGTAGGTTTGTTCGGGTCCTTCACAAGTTGACCGTCATTTTAAATTTTTAAAATAAATGAATATACCAACAAATAAAAAAAATGTTAAGAAATGATATATAAAATTATTATTCTTCCAAAACTCTGTGAATGTTAATTTAGGAAAAATTCTTTTACGTAAAAATGTTTGTATTGTGATTCTGAAGGTGACTGCTATCTTTATTTTCGATACAAAATATTATTTATTAACATAATTCGTTTTAATTAAAAACACCTAATAATAATATTGTATATTGCCAGATAAAAGTTTGCCGTAATAAATTACCAGGCGCTTCGACGTGTGACGTAAGGTAACAGTCGATGTGTCTGTAGCGAAAATCGTTAATTTAGTGTTTTATACGCGTTTAAGTGACTATAAATGTAAATATGGGTAGGAAAGGAAATAAATGTTACCTAAGTGGTAAAACAAAGAGAGTTTATCGCATGAACGCTGCTCGAATGTTGTATTTTGAGATTAATAAAACAAAAAATTACGTTACAAAAATAATATTTTTGTAACGTAATTTTTTGTTTGAGGCTGCCTAATAGATTGCATTTTTACTCATTTACATTAGCCAAACTGATCATTTATACTATTCTAGTTTCAAGTGAGAAACACTAAAAATGTAAATATCAAGACCCAGTCGGAAAAGAATGTACAGAGTAGTGCAAGCACAGAGACCGAAAATATTGTCATAGTCAATGTATTGTCCGAAAACATGGGGTAAGTACATAATTCCGAAATACTTCGGATGTGAAGTGATTGACCAGTCGGAGTAGTCTTGTGAGAATTTACATACAAATTACCTATCCCCACTATGGGGCAATCACCGACTTTTTAGTTTTTTTTCTTTATTATTTATGCAATTTGGATTACAGCATCTTGACTCACAAGAACAAACATTTTCAGTTATATGAGGTTATTTACGTACGATGCACCAATTAAGAAAAAAAAATCATTATCAATTCAATAACTTTTCGAACAATATTTTATAACGAATAAAGTACAGAATTTATAATCTATAGGACCTATTATTATAAATAAGAAAGATTTATTTAAGAAGTAAGCAATGCTCTCTGTGTTGTTCATTACTCTGTATACTGAGCTAGCTCAGTCAAATATAATATAGTCAAAGCCCGTACGGCTTTGATTATATTACTACTTGAATGAATGAATGAATATAAGTACTTTTATTGTACACCACAAACAAATATACAGATAACAAAACAAAAAGCAGATTATAATATTATGTAAGTACAATTTGGCGGCCTTATCGCTATATTGCGATCTCTTCCAGGCAACCAAAGGTGTAAGGATTAGAACAGTGAAAACTAGGTAGGTGGTACAATATAAATATACCTACATAATATAATATTAATACACGCGATTTATAGACAATACATGCAATAAAATAATATACAAATAACTAATACATGAAATTATATTAATTGCTAAAATATAACAAAAATAAAGTAAAACACATATATATATATATATATATATATATATATATATATATATATATATATATATATAAACATACTTACACATTTACCCAAATATATATACAACACGTAACATACGAGTAATTAACGCACTTTGAGTAAAGGTGACAACACGCCGCCCTGCGGTACGCCTGCTGTAATATCTTACTTACACGACTATATACTTGAAGGTCAAATTCTTAAGCGAAATTCTGTTGCAAAAGACTTAGGAGTTTACTTTGATGAAAAACTTACTTTCAGAAATCATTATGATTACATTATTTCTGTCATACAAAACATTAGGTTTTATTACCAGAATCACCAAACATTTCAAAAAACCATCCACATTTATACATCTCTTCTATGCTTTGATAAGAAGATAAGAAGTACCCTTGAGTATGGTTCTGTTGTATGGTCTCCATTTTACGAAGCGCACTCCAAGCGTCTAGAACAGATCCAAAACAAAGCTCTTAAGATAGTTATAGGCTGAAAATAAGTCGCAAGCTACCGTCTTATCAGGAGAGACTACTTACATTTGGAGTTTCATCACTGCGTAATAGACGTGCTATACAAGATATTCTTTGCTTACATAAACTAATATACTGCAAAATTGTTTCCCCAAATCTTTTATCCCAAATCAATTTTAATAATAAGTCAAATCCCAGGCGTCGTCTTAATACGTTTATATTAAACGTTTATAAGAACAATACTTCGTTAGTCGCTAACGCACTCCTAAACAACTTCATGGCAAAGCCAGGCTTGTTGGCTCAATAGTAATTGCTATATATACAGTCATGAGAGCTGCTCCACCTGCCAAAATAAAGCTGCAAATAGCTATGCGCTATTAAGCAACTGGAGATAGTTTTCCAAGTTTAGAAAGTTCTTTTCGAGTTCCAAAGAGCACCATATCCAAGTTTCTGCCAGAAGTGCTAGATGCAATATATGAAGGGTTGGAGGAGTACATAAAGGTCAGTAACAAGAAATCATTGTGAAATTTTTATTTAATATCAAGCTACCTACAGTTAAAGTAATCTTAATTATTGTTTAGCAAAATAGCGATAATTCTCATTATTTTGAATGCTTCTTGTAATTGATCATCTACTACAAATTCTGGTGATGTTTCTTGGCTTGATGCATCACATTGGATCTGAACTTCTATGCCTTCCTCTTGTAATGCATCATTTACTACAACAAGTTGTGATGATTCTTGCCTTGTTGCATCACGTTGAATATGAATCTGAGATTCAAGATTATTGAATAAATGTTCTGGTATTTCAAATGTATATTCATTCGATGTCGTAGAATTGTTTTCCAATTGCATTCAATTTATTCTTTTCCGTTTTACTATTTCTATTATTTCAGACTGAACATCTAGAGCATCTATTAGGGGCAATTGTCGGAGCTGGCTGGCGATATTTTTGGCGAAAAGGGAGAATTCATCTTCTATTTCTTTATGACACAGTACTTGGTCCTTGATACTATTAAGTGTTTCAATAGACTTCTCGATATGTTGAGGTACTAATGGTCGTTTAAGTGGTCGCTTCTTCTTGATAGTATTTTGTGGCTTAACGAATATTTCACTATTTAACTGCTGGGAAGATGATGGAGTTTGAAGATCTGCCGGTGGCGGAAGAGGTCCTGGTATGTCCGATGAAGCTTCGGCGAGAATATCTGGTGAAGGGACGATGGCAATGTCTGGTGAAGGGGCGATTGGAATGTCTGGTGAAGGTGCGGCTGGAATGTCTGGTGAAGGTGCGGCTGGAATGTCTGGATCTGAAGAGCTGTTATCTGAATTCTCCTGTAACAAAACAACAATAGAAAATTAAAAATATGCCTTGTTTTTTCTTCAGATCCCAAAGACAACTGAAGAATGGACAAATATTTCGAGAGTGTTTAATAACCGTTGGAATTTTCCTGGATGTTGTGGAGCCTTAGATGGCAAGCACGTCAATATAAAACAACCAATCGACAGTGGATGTGACTTTTTTAATTATAAAGGTTACTTTAGTACTGTTAGGCTCTGGTAGACGGCAACTACTGTTTTACATATATTGATGTGGGCAGCCAGAGTAGATTAAACGATGCTTCAATATTCAGTAATTCAATACTTAAAGAGAAATTGGAAGATGGGACTCTGAATTTTCCTTCTTGGGGTGTCATTTTAGGAGACGAAGCTTTTCCACTGAAACAGTATTTGATGAAACCATATTCTCGAAGATTAACATTGACAGCCGAAGAGAAAACTTTTAACTACCGTCTTTCTCGTGCCAGAAGAATAGTAGAAAATGCATTTGGCATTATGGTGTGAAAATTTAGAATATACCGGACTCCAATATATTTGTGTCCAGACAAAGTTGACAAAATTGTCAAAGCAACTTGTGCACTTCACAACTGGCTCATGAAGACAGCCATGCACTGTTATGCACCAGTGGGAACAATGGACACAAATACAGACCTGGTTCGTGGAGACAGGAACCTAGATCAAATTATATTGCACATGTTGTGAATCAAGGTAATAATCATCCAATTCGGTTGGCAGAGCAAATAAGAATAAATTATAAAAATTATTTCATTGGAGAAGGCTCCGTCCCATGGCAAAGTAGCAGAATATTTTAAGAATATCTGTGTTCTTATATTTTAACGTGACATTATAAAACAGCTAATAAATTAAATACAAACCTAGTAACCTTGGTATATCCTCAAAAGATTTTTTAAAATAATTTTATAAATTATGATGTGACAATCGAACTAATAAACCACCTAACCAACGTGAGTGGCTACAGCTGTATAGACACATATGATCATATTTAAACAAACATATTTTTTTTAGCTATGAATAAATCGAATACACCTAAGTTTAACCAAGTAGTATGCAGTTGGAGTTTTTGGAAAGACATAGTAAAAACAGAATAGTAGGATTCCTCCCGCGCCATGCGAGGCTTAAATGCCTACTGTTGCAGGGTTGTCACTGTATTTTTATTTGTAAATATTATAACTAATTATTGTTATAAGTAGTTATAACATTTACAAACATAATATACACGTATATTTTATTACACACACACACACACACACACACACACACATTATATATATATATATATATATATATATATATATATATATATATATATATATATATATATATATATAAACTTTGAAAGCTGGGTGTGGCAGAAGAAGCACGAAAGTAAAATAAATGCTGTAGAAATGCGGTCTTTAAGGAATATGCTAGGGTGTAATCTGAATGACAGGGTGAGAAATTGCGTGATAAGAGATAAATGTGGTATGCAAGATGATGTTGTGACCAGGATTAAGAAAGGAATGCTTCGGTGGTTTGGTCACGTAGAAAGAATGAATGAGGAAAGAGTGACAAAGCAAATTTATATGGCAGATGTGAATGGCCGAGTCGGGAAGGGACGCCCTAGGAAAAAGTTTATCGACCAAATTGGCGATATTTTGAAAATGGGCCACGTTAGAAGTACCCTTAACCGACGAGCATGTATGCGTAGATATATGGATGTAAAGGAGGCGAAAGAGGTATGTCAGGATCGTGCCAAATGGAAGTCCGTAGTCTCTGCCTACCCCTCTGGGTGACAGGCGTGAGTGTTTATGTATGTATGTATGTATATATATAAACACGGATACGTAATTCATCATATTTGTTAATCATTTCTTTAGTAACCTCTCAAAGAATCAATGTTTGTCAAAAAAATTCCAGCTTTAAACTACAACAAATGTCAAATAATTAAAATACGAGTAAGTTAACACTGGGCTGATGTCAGCTCAGATTTAAAGTTTAAAATTAATTTGATCTGATGTGATATGATAATTAATGTACTTATGAGGTATGTATAGATATAGTAATATTAATAAAAAGTTAATTTACTTAAAAACGCAATTATTCATTTATTTTACAAAACGAGAAAATAAAACGAAAAAAAAGACTGCTAGTAAAATTTTATTAAAAGTCAACAAAGTTTCAAACAAAGGTGTTGCGGAGCGCGACGGTGGCGGTCCCTGACTGGGCCAGACCTTTCCGACTTATAAAATGCCGTTGTGTACGTACTGTGGCTCGTGCGAGGCACAGCACGCACACAACGATGTGTGCATATTAGCGGCGTTAGTACATTTCTTAGAAGATAGCTTTTAAGATTCTGTTTGTAAGATTCTGTTTTTACTATGATAAAGATAAGGCCTGTATTTAATACGTTCCTCAGCTCAAGTGCACGCACTTGGGGACAATCTTGAGGTTATGATCTTATTAATAAACGTACCTCAAGTTGCGGTTTATTCACTTTATCAGCTGAGGATGGCACTCAAGTACGACCGGTACGTGTTACTTGAGATGCTACAATCTGAGTGCAGGCGGTCCGTGACTAGACTTCGTGATTGCAATAGCGCGAATTACGGAGATTAAAATTATTTTGTGAGAAATTAATTATTGTGATGAAAAAGAGTATATTACTATATTTTACAGAACTTGCGAAATCGTTAACTAAAATTTTATACAGACCAAATTTGCAGAGAAGGTTCGAAATAAGTAATATAGGTAAATCGGAATATTTAGGAAAAATCAATAAAAAAATCTCAAACATTCTGTCTTTTTTGTCTGTTAAATTCAAAATGCGTGGTAATACATTATTTAAACTCATTTTATTACGCACGCACACATTCGTAAGGATTGGTAGGCAAAAATGTTGTTGCCCGTAAATCAATTTTTAATTTGGGATAATTTCAAATAAAATTAGAAGCCTTATTTATTTATATTTCCAAAAACTGCAATAACGGTATATCATTGTTTATATTAAAATTTGGCTACTCTTTAAAAAATAACCTTAAGTAAGGAATTCCTCCAATGTTTTTGAGTTACAATTCTTTAGAGACGCGCCATTATCCTCCTTATTTTCCACCGCAGCCACTGATTTATATATTACATAGTGTTGTATAACTCAAAAAACGCAAAGATCATGTTTAATGTCCATGTCACACCTATGCCGGTAGTTGTTTGGAGTACTATGCTCGAAGTTGTTGACGAGTATGTAAACCTGGGACAAATAGTCCGACTAGGTAAGTCCAACTTCGACCGAGAGGTCAATCGACGGATTCAACTCGGCTGGGCAGCGTTTGGGAAATTACGACACATCTTCTCGTCAGGTATACCTCAATCTCTGAAAACTAGATTGTACAACCACTGCGTGTTGCCAGTGATGACTTACGGATCTGAGACGTGGTCCTTCACTGCTGGCCGTAGGAGGACGCTCAAGGTCGCTCAGCGAGCTATGGAGAGGGCTATGCTCGGAGTTTCTCTGCGTGATAGACTCAGAAATGAGGATATCCGCAGTAAAACCAGAGTGACCGACATAGCCCAACGGATTAGTAAGCTGATGTGGCAATGGGCCGGCCATATAGCTCGAAGAACCGATAACCGATGGGGAAGAAAGGTTCTCGAGTGGCAGCCTCGTACCGGTAGGTGTAGTGTAGGGCGACCCCCCAACTAGATGGAGTGACGACCTGGTAAGATATGCAGGAAGTCGATGGATGCAGGTGGCTCAGGACCGTGCTTTGTGGCATACCTAGGGGGAGGCCTATGTTCAGCAGTGGACTTGTGAAGGGCTGTAATGATGATGATGATGATGATGATGTATAACTCAATGACCGCAGCCATATAATTTTTTAACAATAATGAAAATTATTTTTATTTATATATTTTTTGAATCTAAATTAAATTATAATGCGAGATCAGTATTTATGTAAATATAAGTAAGCAAGAGTTTTAAACTTTTAAACAAGCAGATGTTTTTTGGTGTGGTTTCTTTTTTTACCCTGACGCTGTTGCTAGAGTATTAAAACGTATTAAAACGTTATCTTGAAACCTAGCAACTTTGTCATTTTAGGAATAACTTAAAAGTGTAGGACAAATTTTAGTATTTAAAAAAAATTAAATTTAAAAAATACTAATATTAAATAGGCAAAATACACAAAAGTAGAAAATGGGAAAATTAATTTCACTTTGTGGCAACTTTGCCATCAAGTTTTTTAATGAAAATCATAGGATTTGACTTCAATGGTAAAGTAAGTTTTCCACAGAACATCGTATAAACACTCAGGGCTATGATTTGAATATATATATATATATATATATATATATATATATATATATATACAGGGTGTTAGTGTAAACACCGTTGTCCTTGACATCAGTGGTTTGGTTTCACTTATAGAAAGTAATTTCAATGAAAAATAACAACATTTTTTTTTTAGTCAAATCTCAATTTTTTCTTATAATTATTTCACCCTAGGCAAGTAGGGATATACCTACAGAATTCACAACAAAAAACTCAACATATCGTAGGTAGCGGCAGCGATTCGCGGTCAAAACAAATGTCACTGTGTCAGTCACCTTCGCCGCGTCGGTACGGAATGTACCTGTTAATTTGATTTAAAACCGCGCCGCGCAGTGCCGACATTCTACGTCGCTTTAGGTTGTAGTTTTGGTGCGAGTGTATTTAATTTGTAATATTGTCCTACATAAACGTGCAGTGGAAATGTGCCTCTTCGTTCACTGAGTAACCTCTACTACCAACATGACGGTGCCCCTGCACATTTTCAGCTGTAAATCAGGGCTATGCTGGTAGAGGAGTTTCCTGGGCGATGAACCGACCTTACCCCGCTGGACTTTTATCTTTGGGTAGAAGTGCCGAGTGTATGCAACTAAGTTCCGTAATACGTCCGAACTCAAAAGGCGAATTCTTAGTGTATTTAGAGAAATGACACTGTTGTGCTTCTAGCTTTTACGATTAATGTAAAAGCTGATCAAAATGGAATTCATTTACGAGGATTTTATTTAATAGGTAAGTGTAAATAACCAATCAATCAGGCTACACATCTAGCTGTACAAATCCTTTGTCTTGGCCTCGCTTTGTATGATCTTTCCGTACAATGAACGGTCAGCTTATGCTTCAAATGCCCTTTGCGTTCCAGGGCCGCGGTACGGTATACGGTAAATACGCCAAAAATCCTACCTAATGATTTACTATTTACTATTATTAATGTTTAATTTTCTTTGTTGTTAAATCTAACTTACATTAATTTGGACTCGTCACGCAACACAAAGGGTAGGAATTTTTATCTGTCCTAAGCAAGTGTGAAAGTATGAAGGAAAAGTTTCATGATAGGTTATGTGTATCATTGTGTTTATATTGAAATGTTGTATAGGTAGCAAGGGCGGGCGGTGATCTTTACAGTGATTACGTCACTCGAGCGCATAGGGTATCCATGAATTTACGGACGGTGTCGGACAGAAACTTTTTTAATTTTATAAAAGAAAATAGCGTCTTTTTTGAAAAAAGTCGGTTAAATATTTTTATATTAAAGCCAACCACCTATGGTTTCAGTGACAACGGTGTTTACACTTACACACTGTATATATATATATATATATATATAACTATATTATGTTGTAGTAAAATTTCAGCTTCATAATTTAGTGATAGCAAGTACTCGTCACAATAATTTTCAACAAGTTATAGTTTTTTTTCGTTATCATTATTATTATATTACGTTTGGGTAAAATAATAACTGTAATCAGCCCAAATATTGTTTCCCAAATGTTTTTTCACACAAAAATGGTACTTTTCTTTGAGTGCAAATTAAAATCAACAGACTAAGCTAAAAATATGAAAAATACTGAGTAGTAATAATATTATTAGTACCCGACAACGCAGTAATAATAATATAGATTTCTCTTTTATTTTCTTTCACTTTTGATAAGAATGATTCGATTGACAACCAATGATTTCAAA